TTCAGATCTTGATTGATCTAACTATTGGTGAATAGATTCAGATATTGATTGATTTAGCTATTGCTGAATAGATTTAGATCTTAATTGATCTAGCTATTGCTGAATAGATCCAGATCTTAATTGATCTAGCTATTGCTGAATAGATCCAGATCTTGATTGATTTACATGTAGCTATTGCTGAATAGATTCAGATCCTGATTGGTCTAGCTAATGCTGAATAGATTCAGATCTTGATTGATCTAGCTATTGGTGAATATATTCAGATATTGATTGATTTAGCTATTGCTGAATAGATCCAGATATTGATTGGTCTAGCTATTGCTGAATAGATTCAGATCTTGATTGATCCAGCTATTGTCGAACACATGTAGTTCTAGATGTTGATTGATCTAGCTTGCTCTTTTTGAACTGAACACAAAATCTGATTTCATAGTACTACATTGTAACATGATTTCAGGTACTGTTTTTCAAATTGATCTGTTGTACATGCTGTCAATAACGTCAAAAGATTATTCTGTGGAATTTACTGATAAGCATAAGATGTGTCAGTTAATATTTACCTCCTACATGTACTTGATTGTTATAAGAGTGGCACATTCAGATATTTATTCATACAGTTTATTCGTGTAGCACTTCATACTTCACAGAAACATCAGTGGCAATTGTCTTGATGACCAATGAGGTTTGCCTAGGTTCTCTTAGATAAATAAACATATTTTCCATGTTAGTCGTATTATTAATGCAGTTTTATCAAATTTTGTGCTTGAAACTGGGTGCCTTTTGAGTATTCTGAGTATTCACCCTCCCTTTTAAAGTTCATGGCATAATATTGAAGTTATTGTCATATGTATAATATAGCAGGTTTAGAGTTTAATTGGTTAGTTTAATAAGTTACCGGATGTTGACTTAGCATAACACTGTAAAGATATCACTTGTATACTGAAGGTCATAAGGTCAATTCCTATACTACATGGGCATGTAGTGATATCAGTTCTACATTTGCTAACTGAAAGGTCAAGTTACAACATTCTGTTCTTCATGAGCAGGAAAACAGTTTAGCATTACACTCATGAACTGAAACTTACAAATATGTCTGTGTATGTGTCCATAGAAACCATTAAATCTTTGCTGCTTTGTGTGATTTCCATGTAGACAAATATCTCCATCTCACTGCTACAAAATTCATGATTTGCAAATTTTGTCTTCCACAAAATTTAACAATTCATTTCAAAATATTTCTGCCATGTCTTCCATTGGCTGTTTTTTACTTTGTTATCTCGACATCAGTAAAAGAGAACAATTTAGGTCTATTCTATAGTACAGTTGAAGACTAAAGCTAATTTCATATTTCACACTTTTGCATATCAGCTAGACTCCTGCATGGGAAGGACCTACATGTCTGGATCTGAATTTTCTGTAGCTGAATGTCACCGAGCAGTTCCATAAACTGTCTTCGATAAGTTTTTATTATCTTTGGATGGCATTAATTCACCAAATTGTATGTCAAATTCTCTGTTCGTTAATTAAAATGCACAATATTACAAGACTAACATTCAATGTGAAGCATTTGCCATTAGAATTAGTCTCAATTGCATCCCAGAAATCTGAGTTATTTCCTGTATAGCCATTTTGAAGTCATAGAACAACTATTTACTCATGCTACATGTACTACTGTGTCTGAGTGAACTTTGAACCTTACCTACTTCTCAGGTTACTTGTATTCAACTAAAGTTTGCTGACAATACAACTTATTCAGTATTATAACTGTTGAATTGACTTTTTGTGGTTAAAGATAAAAATTAAAAAAAGTTACTAATGTATAGAAATTCTGTTAATATTAACTCGTCATTTTTGAGTATATATATATTTTGAAAACATAAATACACCAATATTTTATACAAAAAAAATTTGTAAAGTTTACTCTTCAATACCTTTCTACGAAGTACATTACTAGTATTTTGTATTAATAACTCTGTACATTAAGAATGTACATGTACCAATAATAGGTGACTCATAATTGCCTAGCTGCCCACCCCATGTACCAATAATAGGTGACTCATAATTGCCTAGCTGCCCACCCCATGTACCAATAATAGGTGACTCATAATTGCCTAGCTGCCCACCACATGTACCAATAATAGGTGACTCATAATTGCCTAGCTGCCCACCCCATGTACCAATAATAGGTGACTCATAATTGCCTAGCTGCCCACCCCATGTACCAATAATAGGTGACTCATAATTGCCTAGCTGCCCACCCCATGTACCAATAATAGGTGACTCATAATTGCCTAGCTGCCCACCCCATGTACCAATAATAGGTGACTCATAATTGCCTAGCTGCCCACCCCATGTACCAATAATAGGTGACTCATAATTGCCTAGCTGCCCCACCTGAATGCCTGCGGGCTTATTGATGTACAGTTCATTTACGAGCAGCGGTTTGCACATAGTTTGACCTACATATAGGTGTGGTCAATTTAGTAATTGGCAGTTACATAGTTTCGTCAATTTAGCAGTACACGATTGAAATTTTAAATATTTGCTCGGTAATTATATGATTTATATTCTCGAATGACAACAACTTCCTGGTTTCGATGTTGTAATATGACATGTAATTCCTGAGGAGATTGTTGGTGATGTGAGGTGACGTGTCCATATCGATTAATATATTGATATTTGCAGTAAAGTGACTCAAACTAATCCTGCAGTACCATTCAATTAAGTTATCCTACATGTAATTGTCCTACATGTAGAAGGAGACGATATTGTTAAAGTATTTTATAATGTCTCGTTATACTTCTGTCTAATCATGTAACTTGTGTGCACTGTGCACATACAAATATTTTCATCAAAATTATAATATCTAAAATATATTAATGAATAATATTAAGGATAGATTCATGTCATTAAGTGTACAGTACTCATTTTGCCCAACCTCCCGCCCGCTTCCGGATTTCGATCGCTTTTTTTTCGCTCACTTTGTTCAATTCGACCGCGCAATTTCCTCTTTTTTTTCGACCGCGCAAATCCGGAAGTACCCGCTCGCGCAATCGCTTGCTCGCCTGACAGCGCAACCGCCCGCATTTACAGTTCATTACCTACTGTTTCATGTACAAGTGTATCATTTTTGTTTTTATGATGTTAAAATAAGAATAAATACAATCAGAAATTTATAGAACGACCGTTGAAAAAATACGGTGGATCACACGGCCATATAAAATTGGTAATAATACATACGCATAGTAATAATGTCCACCATAAACAAGATCGAACCAAACATGTGAAATCAAATACGGCACTGACACAGACACAACTAATATGAAATAAAACCATTCTATTTTTGGTGGAGAGCGAAAAATGACGGTTGTCATGCATGCATGGTTTGGGTTTAACACGGGTCAAGTTGTAGTTATGTTAAAATCTGTGGTACCTATAACAATTGAAGAATATCTTTAGGAATAGTAAGACTGTGAAAAAAACGACCAATCGATTGTTATAGAATGACCGTAGTGTACAATTTGTCAAACAAATACAATACTTGCAAATGTAATGTCGGCCAGCGCCCATCTTACTTGTCCGAAGTTGTCGAAGCCAACATCAATGGAGATCGCGTTTTTTAACTAGGCGGCTGGCAAGCGGACTAACACGTTACATAAACTTGTTGAATTACAATTATTGTTTTTATTTTTTATAAAATAAAGGATTCAAATTTTGCAGGTTAATCCGTTTTTTGCGAACTCTGGGCGAAATACTTTCATGAGCTGTACGTAGTTCACTTACAGCCAAAACAAAGTCAGCTTGGACATTAAGTTGTGAGACGCGACAAAACAAACGCTGCCAGTGATAGATTACGTGAATAAAAGAACAAAATAAACGCAATCAAAGGCGCCGACCACATGCTTTGGAAATAAATAGAACGCGTTGCTAAGAGGAATCTCACCTGCATCTCGACGACGTCTCCGGTCATGAGCAGGGTTTGCCGCGTCTTAGAAAAATTGAAAGTTAAAAAGGAATCAGTGTCGGGGAACCATTCACAATGTTTGCATGAAAAATCCCACGCGAAAGCATTTTTTTTCCTGTTACAAACACTATGGTACCTGAATCCCGATTAATTCATAAATATGAATCGGTAAGGGTCAATTTCCTGCAATCCTTCAAGATTAAATTTGCCTCCGAAATCTTTTGAACGATGACCTGAAGATTGCCATGATTGAGTGCCACCATT